CTTGCCTGCTGGCACTAAATTTTGATTTTCAAATGATATCCATGCTGTTATGCTGCTGTTGTGGGGTTTTTTTTTGGTCATTTCATAATCATATAAGGGATAAGGGAAATGCCTTCTATACTACATTACCATTAGTTTCTAAATAAGGTGAAACCTGGCCTTTGAGTTGATATACTGCATGACTAAGTAAATATTTTGCGAAAACGTGATTCATATTGAACTTAAGCAGTGTCTGGACACAGACTAATAACTCCTGTAATGGAGTAGAGCAGTTATGATAGATGATGTTGGCAGGATGACTCCCAATCGATCAGTCGTGACACAGTTCCTCTAATGGATTGCTCTATGGACAGTTTATTTACAATTACTGACAGGATAGCCGTGTTTGCATAAACTGTAATGCAGCAATGAGATTTCGAAATGGTTAGGGCGGCACTTGCCTCTGTGTTTTATGGAGAACCGATAATATTACTTTCAGAAAATAAGCATTGATTATCTTGAGGATAAGGTCTGAAATACCAATATCCCCACTTGTATCATCCTCCAATCTATCAGTTTGTCTTTATCTGTATAAAACCTTCTTCAATACCTTTAGTTGCATCAGTTAAATGGAAGACCAGGTTGATCATTAATTGTTCTTCAGTCTTATCAAGCTGATGTACTGTTACAGTAGTATTATCTGCCACAAAGATACCTCCACATCAAATCAAATCCCTGCATCCCATAAAACTATGTAGGTCATGTCATTGTCTTGTTTGCATCAATGACCTAGCCTTTATACATGCATGTGTCTGTCCTCAAGTCATATCTTGAATATGTGGAAATGGTTCTTAATAGAGTGTACACTAGGAGACGTGCAGGCTGAAGATAGCTTTGAGTGTAGAAACCCAGTAGAGGAAAGCACTTGCTAAAGCAGGTTTGGATAAGGCTGTCTGTGAGCTATTCTCGGTCAATATGTACGTATGTAAAAGGTTACAGCGTCAAGAACTGTTTGGATAGTGAAAATAAAACAGCTTTTTTCCAAGAAAGTAACATTTGACATGGATTGTGTCAAATACTCGTCCCCTTTTTGCAACCGCAGGCTTCACATAGGATTTATTTTGAGTGAACGCCTGAGGCAACTGTTGACATTGATTTATTTCCAAATTCCCTTTAGCAAGGAAAGCATTACGTCTAAGGATAGAACCTTACTTCATGTCAATCGCAGAGGGTACACTGACTCTTCTTAGAAGCCAGACAACAGTCAGTGGTGAAGATTACACTTGAGCTGCTTCAAAAGACTGTTTTTCCTTTTTGAATCTGTGTATAATGTTTACTGCTAGAACAGGATTGAACCTTTAAACCTGTTGTCATACCATGATAACAATGGCATGTACTTTATATCCCTCCTGATGTTGAATCCAGATGTTCCTGGACAAAGAATTGAAACAGTAAATCTTTTGCTTTTGTATAGTTACAAGAAATGCTCAGGATATTATTGACTTTTATTCCCAAAGGAACAGTTTTTCAAAGATGGCATTGTGACATGTAGACAGAAATCTTTGTCTCTTTTCAGTTGAAAAGACGTCATAATCTCTATACAAATCAATATTGGAATATGCTTATTTATTTACTGTAAATTACAGTAGGATTGCAGAATTGTCCTTCAGTTGCTTGAGGTACCGGAAGCCACATGTCTTTTCAAAACAGTTGCCATAGCCCAGAGGTTGGAGGAAATATTTTGTTTACACCAAGACGTGATACCGCTGAAGTTATTCTCATCGGTCAAGTACAGAATGTCAAGGCCTGACCATGACACCACCAGCTGAACTTGGTGACGTCAATCTTGGTTGATAACGTCAATCAAACATTTTAAAATTCCCAACAGACAAGTGTTATGAGAAACAAAAGAGCAAGTTATGATTGCGTTGTTTTATAGCCTGGTTACCAAACCTTTTTAATTTTAAGCTCCCAATCCTACATCCTCTCTCTGTATCTGCATTTACGAGTAAACTGATGGTACCGATGTTTTTATTATGTTAAAGTAATAGCTCCTTATCATTAAAAGATAATCAGCTCTGCAATTGGACCATGCAACATCAAGCAAGGTACACTATCGTGTCTAAAATCTTACTGAACATCCTTGTCATTGGTGGTTTACAAAAAAGACGTCAAACCCTTCAAGCATAGTTTTAGAAATAGCTATTATAGTTTTAGACAATTACCTTTTATTATATAGATTCTGTACTCTGTTTCAATGTCCTTTTATCTTTGTTATTTGCAATTAGCCCTCGGGCAGGAATTTGCAATAAACTTTACATTATTACCGAGAAGGTTCAATCACCGATAATTCTTGAACCAGACAGAAATCTAAGGGTGTTGAAGTTATTGTTATTCATAAGAGAGCTTCCTGTGGCTTCTGGGTGGTTTTCCTGGAAAATCCCTTCAGAGTTCGCTTTGTCATGCTGAAGGCTGGATAGCTCCGTAAGGCCACAGCAAGTAAATTTTATGGATGACATCCTCTGCAGACTGCAAATCTAATGCAATAGGGCGAGAAAAAAAACAAGGTGGACCCAAAAAACAAGATTTCTACACTTTCAAATTTTGACATCAGTCTTGTTTATATCTATTGACAGGGCCTAGGAAAAAAATGTTGTGTTTCCTGTTTCAGTCCTGAAAAAATTAGGGTCGGTAGCAGGTAAGGATTTTCTTTTTTTTTCTTTTTTTTTAGACTTAAGTGATCTCCAGTGATCGGAACTTATACAGTACAGTTTAACAAAGTAAAACTTGCATGAGGACACTTATATTTTCAATGTCAATGTTGAAAAACTGATTGTACATCGTTTCATCACTCAGGTGTTAGATTATGGAGCTATAGGACAGGTTGATCAGCCCGAAAAATTATTTAAGTCCCTTGCAGGGGTCCACACAAAAAGGCTACAGTGGGCAGTTTTTTCTAGGGTCGGTCGGGAAACAGGAAACACAACATTTTTTCCATAGGCCTAATGTCAACTTCCTGGCATGAAACCAAGCCTGTAAGATCTATATGACACTGTTTTATGGTAAAGATGGAATCACGACTACCAAATACCAATGTGAAGGACTCTTACAACCTTTTGAAGATTTGTCAAACATTTCAGGAAAATAAAAAACAGTCGGGCCTAAAGGAATAAGAAGGCAAGAATAGTCCCATTGTAGAAATAGCCAATGAGCTGGTAAGGGAGAAGCTATTGTATACTGTATATGAATTATAAAAGAGGCATCATCCTTCACTGTCCTAGGCAAACATGTGAAGGCTCTAACGTGGACAGGGGCTCTGTAAATGTATACAATAGATGATTTAAAAGGCAGCTAGGTATAGATGTTACCAAAGTTGTACACCCCTTTTGATCATAAAGAGAATCCAAACCCAAGGCTGGCAATCATTTAAAATAATTGCATTGTAGTCTACTGACCCAACCACCTTAAGTGGTTGGGTCAGTTTCTTTTTTTTTTTAAGAAGCCATGTCAGGAATGTAGGACCATTGCCAACGTACCTTTAAGTTTGTGAATCATCAGTCTGAGTACTGGCGCTTGAATTGTTCAGTGGTTAGCCTCTCACCTGTCGGACATGAAGGTCAAGAGCTAACAAATCCCAGCCTGTAGCTGCTCATTCAACTTAGATGCCCCTGGAAATTGTCATTGTAAGGAAAGCATTACGTCTAAGGATAGAACCTTACTTCATGTCAATCGCAGAAGGAGACTGACTCTTCTTAGAAGCCAGGCAACAGTCAGTGGTGAAGATTATACTTGACCTGCTTCAAAAGACTGTTTTTCCTTTTTGAAATTGTGTACTATTATTGTATATTACAATTACAATAAATGAGCTATAGGCTACTAACTGTAAAGAAAAGAAGAGTGTCGATCTGTCTTGGATCTTTCTCTTCAAAAGAACAAGCTAGTGTATAAACTGAGATACATTGTAAGTTTCTGCACATTGAATGAATGAATGAATGAATGAATGAATGAATGAATGAATGAATGAATGAATGAATGAATGAATGAATGAATGAATGAATGAATGAATGAATGAATGAATGAATGAATGAATGAATGAATGAATGAATGAATGAATGAATGAATGAATGAATGAACTTTATTGCTCGACAATGGTACATGGTACAATGTGTGGCAGTAATACAACAAATACATACGTAAGTTACAAAACTAAATCTTACAATTGATGACAAGACTGGACATAATTTGATAATTGCTACAATTACGAATTAACTGGAAATGACTGCTTCAGATTCATTTTCATTGCCAAGTTCTTCAACGTCATGCGTCTATCTTTCTGCTCACGTAGGACGTAGCCAAGATCATATCACGAAAGCTGGGTTCTCTTGTGGGATGATGTCAGCAGCGATTGGTTCAATTATTCATCCAGCAGGATATGGGTTATTCCATTGGCTTTTAAGAAATGGGGTCCATACAATTAAAAGTGTCCCTCCATCTGGTATGTAAAGTGGTTAGGCATTCCAATCGTGGGCGTGTCTGTAGACAGTTTTTGATATTAGTACATGATCTAAATCTTATTTGCTTTGATTTATAAGCACTTCCAGTAAAGGTATGCCACAAATTATACAGTGCTTCATATGATTCTTAGCTATTGAGGAGAGAAAAACCCCTGGACACGTCCTTGCATATGATTACTTGTTGCAAATGTGCAAACCTGTGATAAGGTGATCTTAGTTATCAGATATTATGGCATGTATTGAACAGGCATAACTAGTTCTATAGAGCTGCAAAAATGTTTTGCCCTCATTAGAAAGTTTGGAAACCCCCTGAGAATACTTAATTTCACTGTAAAAGATTTCATACTTTCATGTTTGTTATAGTATCATATATGTCATCTTAGTTAATGTAATCCCAGAACACCTAAAGATCGATTGATAATCTGCTATCATCTGCTATATCAATGCTGATAATTCGATTACTTTTTAAAATTGGGTAGTTTTTAAAATTTCATGATTGTGTTTCAGATTTGTCATAGCTGAGAATGGATGGAGACCAGCCTTTAGACCTGTCCAAGGGTTCGCCCAGTAAGTCAGGCACTCAGCAGACATCTGCAGCGGCCAGCCAAGCGAGGCCCCCACGCCCTGCAGCGTATACACAGCCACAGGTAATTATATCTTGGAAGGAATCCCAGAACACCTTGAAGATTAAGATTGATAACGACATCTGCTGATAATTGGATAGAGATCTTTTACTCTGATGATAATGACATCATTTGAACATCCAAGTCACAGAGACATAAGAATGAAAAATGACCAACTTGGAAAAAGAAACGATGTACTGAATGGGATACTAAATGATCAAAGTTTTCACAAGTCTGATTATTTTGTCTGATTATTTTGTCCGTCCATTGATCATTGTTTCTTGTGTGAGGTGACAGACTTGTAGTCATATTCAAAGACAAATCAAACTTTACTACTAGAAAGAAAAATAACTTTCAGACATTTCAAGTGACTTGAAGTCATTTTGCTTGTGCTTGTATCTCCTACACAGGTTCCCCATCCCCGTGATAAGCAGTATGGCTCCCAGCCCGCCGGCCACATGTATGGAATGGAGCGGGTCGCACACAGACTGCCTGCCAACACCAGACCCATCGGCCCACATCAACTTCTGCATCACCACAGCCAGCAGCAAGGTGGGACTCCCGTGGGGTTTGCTGTCCCAGACAGAAGAACCATGGGGATGCCGGGAGTGGATACGAAGGCAGGAGGACCCGCCAATACACACCCTCCGTTGTACAGCAGCAGTGCCATGGGCCGGGCTGGCCAGGCTGTGGAGATACTGGACAGCCGGCAGCCCTACCACGCCCCCATGCCCATGCGACCCGCCCGCTCTCCTGCGGCCCCACACACGGGAACAGACAGAGCACACAGTAGCCAGGCCCAGGTCAGAATGCCTGTGGACAGTAGGTTGATGATGGGTGCTGCTGAATCCTCTGTTCGAGGAATGAACCCTGCCAGCCACAGTAGTGCCACCCTGATGCCCATCGCCGCTCCTGTCACAGATCCCACAGGAGCCAGAATACCAAGGAAAGGGAACATGCCGTCATCACAAAGCCCGAACAGAATGGTGGCCTACAGTGCGGACTTACAGCGGGTCCAGTTGTCTGTTTCTGCTCAGCCCGTTCCTGCGAACCCTCCGGAGTTTGTCACCTTGAGACAGTGCCTGGTGGAAAACAGGCGGTTAGAAGGTTCGGAGTTGGTGAACTCGCAGAGAACTTCAAAGGTGGCGTCTGAGATGACTCCCCACAGCCCGAGGGTTGCAGTGTCTGATCAGGGTGACAGACACCAGAGTACGTCAGCCACAACTACGGTGTACTCAACACAGCCCACACAGCATTATCCTCCTGATGTCATCAACAGGTTAAATAGAGGAATGACACATCCTGCCCTTGTAGCAGTGCAGAGACAACCCAATTTTCATCCCTCTATGGCCATGCAGCATGGGCCTAGGTTGTCCTCACCACCTCCCCTCATCCATGCACCTAGAAGTGGCACTTCCGGTGGGCAGAAGGATGACGGGGCTAAGTCCTCCTTATCCAGTGACTCTGATCCGAAAAGGAAAGCGAGGGAAATCCCTCCACAAGCCACAGCAGAATACCTGCGGGCTGCTCAGTTGGTGCCTGGTGACTACCCACCGCCACCACCGTATGTCCAACACAGACAGGCCCATCACTACCAGGGCTTACAGAACTCCAGCGAGGCTGTGTACAAAGACAGGGCACTGCCGCAGTACACAACAGCACGCCAGCAGCAAGACTATAAGGGGTATGGCATACAGGGTGTAGCGATGCCACCACGGGTGAGCACTTCAGAGGCAGCGTCCATCCCTGTCCAGCAGTACTTCATGCCCGCTGCCCACCTATCCCCCAGAGGTGCGATGGCACACAGACAGGCAAACGGTGACATAGACATGAGACGGGTGCAGCAGGGGGATCTCAGACCCTCCACTGTCGCACACCCGCCGCCTCTCATCAGCGTGGCTGGCAGTGTCACAAATCCCAGCTTCACCCAGAGAGGAGGGACTCTTACTGTGTCGGCGCAGAGCAACAGGGGAATCCCGGCGACGTCTGTGCAGGCAAATGCCTCGGGTTACATGCCACAGCAGAGGGACAACGGGGTGACGCTAGTGGCACAGATCGTAGAGAAGCAGCTACTGGCTGATGATGGGCGCCAGGCGGGATGTGCGGTACCACCTGCCTGGAGATTCAAGCACAGGCGAGACCCTGTCTACCAGCAGGTGAACGGAATCCCGTCGGCCTCAAAGGCTCCTGAAACTTCCAAGACAACCATTCCAGATGTAATAGTAATAGAAGATGACTCCCCACCAAGCTCTGTGAAGACTGACAGTGAACCTCAGCCCACCAGCACTGCCAACGACAGAGAACAAACCGTCAGCGAAGGGTTTGTAGGGAAGAGAAAGGCAGATCCTTCTGTAAATCCAGTCCCCAAAGTAATGAAGGGGACTTTGGGTGAAAAAGTTGTACCTGCCATGCAAGTACAACAACCCCCTCCTGCGCATAACGTTCCCCAAACTGCCAGTGCTGGCTCATTTTTGTTTGAAAGTGCAGTCGCCCTCACGCTACAAGCGGATACACAAAAGACCCTCGAGAAGCAAATAGCACAGCAGATGGGGAAGGACAAGCATAGCTCATCAGTGTCACAGATGAACAGTTCAGACCAAACACGGAACATCTTTAGTGTGTTTACATCATCTCCTTCTGTCACAACCCAGTCTTCTACTCAGAGCAAAGCAGATTACAGTGAGTCCGAGCAGCCTCTTGCTCTCACAGTAAAGCCATCTTCTACTACTACTACATCAAACTACAAGAAGAAAAGGTGGAACATTAATGCCTTGAAACAGAAGTCAGAAAGTGGGGCAGAAAATTCCAGTCAAGGAGGACATACAAGTGAACTCACGAAGGGTGCAAATGTGGTCAAAACGGCAGGAGTTGACGGTGGCTCACTGTCTACAGTTCAGTCAACAAGCAAGCTAGATCTGCCGAGTTCCCAGTCATCACAAAGGCAATTAACCAAGAGTCCTGAGGTACCTCTGAAGCCAATCAAGCCCAAACAGCAGTGGGCACATTCCAGGAAGCTGAAAGAGGTGGAGGCCCTGCAGAAGGATGCCGAGTGGCAGGCAGGGCCCAGCGAGAGGAGCAGCGTTCGTCAGTCCAAGTCATTAGCCACGGCTATCATCAAAAGTGTGATTGAGGACGAGGAGATCACTTCTGGAAAGTACAAGTCTTCTGATCCCAAGACGCCAAAGCTTCCCAAGAAGCCAAAACCAAAACTAGAATCAGTAGAAAAGAAGCCTCCAAAGCCAAAGGAGCCGCAGCCATCAACTTCTAAAGTAAAAGAGGATGAATTTAGTGATTTTGACGATGATTTGGATGATGATGACGATTTAGATGATGACTTAGAGGACTTGAGGAGGGGGAAGATTTCAGAAATCGTACCTGATGTGGATGACATTGAAGGGATGCTGTTCATGTCATTTTGTTCCAAAGATGCTCTTCATGCCCACGTGGCAGTGGAGGAGAAGACAAGGCAAGAGATGGGAGACAAGGGCCGAGAGTTCCTCATGGACATTACTAAGTTCAAAACTCTGAATCTACCTCCAAAGACCAAGCGGAAGTTGAAAGAGATTGGCCAGGCAGAGTTGTTCAGACACAAGGGGAAACATGGCATGAGGGGAATTCACAACAGGATTAGGAAGTATGAAAGGATGCTTAAACTGGAGCTGAAGGCCCTGAAGACTGGCAAACCGCAGCAAGATATAGCAGCAATAGAAACACTGGAACAAGGTGAACTTATCCCTCTTGAGGAAAAATCTCCCGGAGTAAGTACCGGTAAAGTCAAGACTCCAGGGAGTGGCAAGAAGATTAAGAAATCAACAACTCCTGGGAATAAGACTGGCACTCCCGGTAAGATCAAAAAGAAGAAGGCCCAGGGAGATGGAAAGGAAAAAACACCAGGCACAAAATCAGGCAAGAAGGCAAAGAAACTAATCAATGTTTCAGATAAAGAGTTGGATGACGGTACTAGTGTGGTGCCCGCAATTGTTATAAAGCAGGAAGTAATGGATAGTCCTACTGATGAGGCAATGACAATGCCAATGACAGAAGTGCTACCACAGAGCAGCAGTGGGCCAGTTACAGAATCACCCAAGTCAACAGAGAAAACTCCTGAAAAGTTTCTCTCCAAAAAAGGCAAGACGACAGATCCAACCAAAATTAAGGGTTACAAGAAAAAGAAGAAGCAGAAAGCCCTTTCAGGGGAGGACATTGAGCTCTTGGAAAACACTCCCTTTGAGAAGCTGCACTGGAAGACTCAAGAACGGCTCCTGTGCTGCATGACTGAAGAGCAGATAAAGGAAAGGGGGTTGCAAGCACAGGTGCTAAGAATGAAAGAAAGGAAGACCGAAGGGTTCATTCCAAAGAAGCTTAGAACAAAGAAACGGATGAAAGAACTGGAGCAAAGCCGAAATCTTGAAGCCAGTACTAGTGGCTTACCCATGTCAGTAGAAGATGGGGAGGAAGAACAGGAAATTCTTGATGATGACAGCACCGACATTTACAACTTTTATGGTGACGGTGATGATGATGATGACCTTGAAAAGCCTGAGGAAATAGAACAGATGGCAGACGAGCTGCCCTCCCCCTCTGCGGTTGAGAATGTCACCAAGATGGGACCAGAACTGATTGGTCCCGCAAGAGAAGAGGCGGGGTGTAAGAAGTCAGCATTCGTCAGTGATGAGTTGGAAAAGTACCTTGCAACAGAGGGAGAGACGTTCAGCAGCAAGTGCAGCAAAGTGACCTTCACTCACCCCCTGATGCACAACAAGGCAGAAAATGTCGCGTTCCAGACTCCCTCCAAGCAAGGGTCAGGTTTTGTCAAGAGTTTGGACAGTGTGGTACAGAAAGCAAATTTCATCAAAGGGACGGGGCAGAAGGCTAAGTCCCCGCTCCAGCATGGCACCCAGATCAGGATCGTCAACAGCAAGATGGTTAACAGGAAGCCGGCTCTCCTGTCCAAATCACTGAAGCCCGTGCCAAAGAAAACAAGCAACACGGGAGCAAAGTCAGCCCTGTCCAAGTTGAAAGCGTCTCTGATGAAGTCTCACCCAACAGCCCGAAGGGCCAGCACTACCACAGCCACCAGCGGTGACGTGACAGTGGTTAGTCCTACCCAGGCTGCCAGCGCGGCTTCAGCATTAGACGAGTCATTCGAGATGGGTCAATCTCCCACCGACTATAGCCAGAATGGGGCGTCAATACCAAGGAAACCTAAAGTACTGAAAACTGTGAAAGAGCCTGTGTACCAGTTGTCTTCCCCTCGGAGAGAAGAAGAGTTCCAGGAGAAACCACCCTGCAATAACAACTTCTGTAGACTTGGTTGTGTGTGTGACAGCATTAAAGACACAGGGGATGTTAGCTCCGAGAAGGAGCACTGTGGAAAGGTTGACTGTATGTTCGGCTGTGTCTGTACTGATGAGGAGAAAGCTGAGAGCAGAAGGAGACCGCGTAGGCCGTCTGAATCTTCCATGATGTACTTTGACTCACCCGAGCAGGAAGACAGCCCTACGGCTACAAAACTGTTAGCAGCAGACGTCCTTGGCAGTCAGGAAGGAACAAAGGGGAAAAGTCTGAAAGGCAAAAGGACTCCCGGTAAAAAGAAAAATGGAGGACAACAGAAATCAAAGGAATCTGCAAGTGAACAATCTGACAGTGCCGGCACTTCAACCAGCACAGATGGGAAGGAGAAGAAAAGGAAAGCCAGTGCCAAAGGCCAGAACATGCAACCAAAGAAGAAAAGGATGGTAAAAAGGAAGGCAAAGTCAGAGTCTCTGGAAGGGGCCTCACCGTCACAGTCTAAATCCTCCTCTAAAGTCATGAGGAAGGAGTCTGAGGACGGCATTAAAGAGCAGGACATGTCAGAGGAGGGTTTTTTAGAGGACAGATTCATGGATGAGGATGAAGAGGATGCCTTGTTCATAGATGACATGGGGCTGGATGAGATGGATGATGATGAAAGGGAGGATGAGGATGGAGACGACGGCATGACGTGCGCTCGGACGAGACTCTATCGCAGCAAAGTCTGCCAGAGGAAGTGCATGTGTAAGCAGCACGGGAGCTCCCCGGAGGACGAGCGATGCGAGGCCGAGAAGGAGTGGAGCAAAATCCGGGCGGAGATCGAGAGACGGAAGGCCAAGGAGCAGAAACCCGGGACAGCCGGCTCCGTCACGGTCATGCCCAACAGGAAGGTGCAGCCGTACCGAGAGTTCGTGTATGTGGGACCTCGCCCGCCCCCACCCGACTTGAGCCCGACGGCACGCTTGCCGCGAATCGCGCCCGCTCCCCCTCCCGCTCCGCCACCCCCTGCGGTCCCACCCACGTCAGCAACACCAGCTGCTGCTGCGGCAGGGGCTAAGTCTACCTCCGGGGGAAAGCTGATCGAGATCATCTCTGACTGCAACTGGGAGAGTGCCAAGGCGAACATCCTGCAGACCATAGCGCAGCACAGTCAGAGGAACGATGGGCCAAGGGTCATGAGAGTGGGCAATTTTCTCATCGAGATCATGCAGCCCAACCCCCAGGGAAAAATCCCCATCCCGGCCGTGTCAGGTGCCGGCCCGCCTGCCGGAATGAGATTTCCCGTACCTACAGCTGTAGCCGTGAGTCCACACTCACAGGGACCGGCACGGATCCTCCCTTCATCCTCGATACCCACAGCCATCGCCCAGTCAGGACTCCCCACTGGTATTCAAGTTTCAGCAGTGCCCTCTGTCTCCGGTACTGGAACTGCAGCAGCTGATGCTCTGCCCCAGGCCTCCACGACTGCGATAGTAGGCAAGGTTGCGCTGGTGCAGGGTGCCACCGCAGACTCCACTCCCGATTCCCTTCCCACTTCTGAAACTTCCAGTAAGAGTCCCATCCTTCAGCCTATCCCCAGAGGTTTGACATCTCCTGTACTACAAAACTGCACTGTCCAACCAACTCAGGATGGGAAGGAAATACTGTCACCATCGGGAGAGAAGTCAACAGAAGAGACCATGAACCTACAGGAACCACCATCACTCAAGAGGCAGCCGTCCGTCAGTTCCTCGTCCTCTTGCAAACCATCATCAGAGGCAGAAGAGCACCCTCTAGCAGCTCTGAGAAGCCTTGCAGACTCTCCCTTCGGCACAGCCTCCACCACTGTTACTGTGACATCCTCACCCATGGGCAGCGCTGCCACTTCCCAAACCTGTCACTCCTCCTTCTCTACAACTTCACCAAAGTGTTCCATCATCGAAAATCCCAGGTATCGGTCGAGAAACGATTCAGGGGATGCCACTGCCAATGATGCTTCAGATCCATCCAGTGAGCAGGCCAAGGCAGCCAACTGCAGTAGTCATGACAACATGACCGAAGTGTCCCCTTGTAAAGATCCATCAAGCTTGCCTGAACTGGTCCCCAGACCTCAGACACCCCCTGCTCCTCCCGAGAAGAGATACTCCCCTTCTATGCCAGTGCTAGAACCAATAACTCCCCCTAGACCAATGCGTGACGGAGGTAAAAGCAAACTGAGCTGCCTCGAGGTAGATGCTGTTGCACCACACAAGCCATTTGTGAGAGAACCCACTACAAGCTCAGACTCGCTGAAAGAAATCCAGGATGGAGTACAACGTGTGAACATCATACCAAGCCTACAGAAGGCAGATTCCTTACTAGAACACCCTGCATCACAGGCTAGTGAAGATACTCAGGAGCAGTGTACAGAAATAACCAGCACGTCTAACCAGGGTGAAGGGTTCGTTGAGGAAGATTTAGAAAACAATAATGACCTTGACTGGGACACCAATCAAGCAATGTCTCTTGACAATGACGAAGCTGAGCAGTCCCAAATCTCCGAAGATGCAGCAAAGGATCCTAAAGTAAGCATTGTAACACCAACAGAAGAAGTTACACAGCCAAATTTGAAGAACTTGCCTGATCAGAAACTTGTAGAAAGCAGTGAGCAACAGGATGAAACAGGCAGTCTGGGTTTTGATAGCCACTTGCCTTCACACCACGAGGGACCTGATGACACTGCAGGTTTGAGTCATCCTTCCACAAGTGGAGAAGTAACCAGTCTGGAGGACCTGGAGATTGACATAGAGTCCCTGGAGGACACAGAGGGTAGCCAGGCAGACTTCCTGATCTCCATTGGAAACAACGACTACAGCATGCCCATAAACCCCAAGTGCACCCTCCACAACCTGTCTGTGAAGAAGAAAAGGAAGTCTCCTCTCAAGGAGAAGGAAGTAAAAGGTGAGGATAATGGCTTTTTACTTGTTGTTTTGTGTTGTGTTCTTTCTACATACATGTATTACCAATGGTGTGGGCTACAACATTGAAGTCCAAATGGATGGTGCAGAGTAGAAGATGATAAAGGGTGTCCAGGAAAAAACTTCTCAGACATTTTTGGCCATTATTTATTGGCAACTTATACTCCTCATGTTTCCATCGATATAGTTATGGTGATTTGCATGTTTGGGGCATCAAAGGTCTTTCGTGTTCCTGATAGTCGGGACTTTTTAGATTTACTTGTGACTTTTTTGTTGTTTTTCACCTTCAGCATGCTGACCAAATTTTTGGTTTCCTTTATCCTACTTCAGACTTAATTGAAAAAATTTGAACCGCACAACTCTACAAATTAAAATTCTAGGAAAAGTGGAAATAAAGAGCATGTTTGAGCACAAAATGGTCATAAATCGGTGACAAAGGTTACCCCCGGCATGCCCAGGGTTAAAAAAGCAAGTTAAATGGTGTCAAAGCATGATACTGAGGGCTGATGAAACACATGCTCCAACTATAAGGTCAGCACTGATCTACACAACTTCATTGTACTTTGTTTTTTTCTTAGTACAAAAGAGGGTCTATACCAAGTCTTCTTCTGATGTATGCATCCCAGCTTTTCATGAGCAAACGTCTGTCTTAAGGAGGATGTAATTAGCATACAGTTTTCACAAACAGCAGCTGATGTTTCAAACTCCATCACTGCTTCGAGTCATCCTCCGCAGCATGCTCGGACTCGGTATGGGCGGCAATCGGGGTGGCGAACCCAGATGTTTGGGAACTACCTTGTCTACTGAGATCTACTGAGGTAAATCTGTTATTGTGAGAGGCTGGACATGAGCTGGACTGCTGAGCCATGCCAGATGATTGACACTCTTGCTTGAATCTTGACTGCCCTGACTACTGTCCTGACATTTTCATTTTGAGATGAATGATGCCTCGCTAGGTTTCACATTTCTCTCACGCCTCTCTCTTACAGAATTTGCTGCTTGAAAATCTCTCTTCGAGTTTTCTCAGTTTTACCAGATGAAATGCCAAAAAGGCAACCTTTGTATGAAAACTAGACAAGGTTGGGGTTGCTTGGTATAGACCCTATTTTGAGTGCCATCTGGTATCTGTTGAAGCATATTGTAAAGGCTGCTGTTGGTTTGATGTCAAAGTAACAGCAGTTGACAACAACCTGGCTAAATTTCTATAGAATGTACTACTGACCCTGATACAGGGTAGGACCCAGGGGGAGGGGCTGTGTGCAAATGTTGGTGTGTTTTCTTTTCCAGGTCAATGCTTGGTGAATTTTTTTTTTTTTTTTTGTTCTTTTTCATCATCTTTTACATGCCATGATCTCCCTGGG